AAGTAGTTTTCCAATCCGGTCTTTAATTTTGACATCATTAGCCGTGCCTGGGCCCAAGCTCCGCTGCAAGTCCCTAGGGCTGTGTTCCAATCCAGCAACCACACTCTTCGTAGTGCGCATTTGGAGACCGATTACGTCACAGCGACAGCTGTCCCAACTCGAAGTGGTACTCCAAATGCGGTCGACCAATGCGCCAACGATTTCCCCAAATTTGAAGTGTGGTCTGGTGTAGACTTCATGGTCCCATATATCCCACAATTCATAGCGCTGTGGAGGATGTGGATAATTTTGCCACGAAAATACGTGTGACGGCTGAAGTGGGTGGCCGAGGACTAAACTTTCAAAAGGAAGTACTGAGTATTATGTCACTTATTTATGTGCAAATGTTTAATAATGAAGAACATTAAAGTATTGTTGGTGGCCACATGTCGGCAAAGTTATGTGACATTAATGATGTTTGTACTAACTCGGTTTTAAAGCCTTTACTTTAAAATGTATGCCGTTCAATGGTTGACCTTAATCTTATGGAGAATGGGATGATTTTATGGAGAATTAAATTCAGTAATATATCCACAAACACAACAAATTGAAAGCCAGTGAATACTGCTCGGTTTGCAATCCTGAATAACACGACACTAGCAGGATTCACTTAAGGCTGGGCGATAAGGTCTAAAATCTATATCACGGTATAATTTGAAGCATGTGCGGTAATGATATATATGACGATATAGTATATTCTTTCTTCTATATAATGTACTTTACACATTTTAAAGTCACACTTAAAATCCTTTAATTTTCTTAAAAATCGACAGTTAGCAGGAAGTTAGCTCGCTAGTTTCCACCTAAGCATGATATAGCATGTTCTGACTGAGATATTAGTGAAACAAATTAAAATGTACAGCCATGCTATCACTTTCAACATAAATGAAAACTGAAAACTAAACAGCAGTGATGTTTGCAGGGTTACTGAAGTTGGACTATTTGCTATATGTTGTGCTACGCGATCGCTAGCGACACAGGTACGTTAGCATAACATTAGCACAGTGAAGCTGAAGGACGAACACTAACTTTTTTCCACTTGATAAAAGTTAACGTGAGGGATTCTGGTGTTTAGGGACAAAAGCAATCGCATAGCAGGATGCTATACA